TAGTGTGTAGCTGCACCAGGTCGCAGCCATTATACGACTCATTTCAACCTTTTAGCATTTTATCTCGGCAATCTTCTTGGTTTTCCCTTTTCCGGTTTATGTATATGTTGTGTTGATGTAATACATGAGCCATGGTCAAGGCAAAGAAGACGAAAAAGCCGTCATCGGCTCTCAATACACAATGTGAGTTGTTAGTAATGCTATTAAGTCTCATTAAATTTTTAGAAGTGAGCAAATACTTTCCATTTCCAGCTCTTCCATTTAACACTGAGAAAGGCCAGCATATTTTGAAGAATCCTGGTATAGTTAATTCAATCATTGAGAAGGTGGGTTGTAATTTGAAGGTCGTTGGCACGTTTTATTTTTACTCAGCTTTACTCCTTTCCTGCTTGATTTGTTAGTTCTTCCAAGTCTTGGTTATATTTCTTCAATTTACCAGTGTGGTGTTATAATATGAGGTACAATATGACCACCTTAAGTTGATTTCGTATTTTTAATATCAGTCAATGAGTTTTGAGATAAGATAGAACCAGGGATACTTCAATTTCTTTTTCATAGTACCCGTAGGCTTGAGCACAACATGTCGTGATACTGGCCTTTACTGCTCATCAGTGAGGGGAAAATCGTTAAAATGAAAACCAGTCACCAATAAGAGAAGTATCAGTTTTGTCGAATCAGTCTCCACTCTTTACTTAATTCAGTAGCAAAGTCCTTTTTCAGCTCTCTTAATCGCCTGTCAAATCGTTGTTGAGGTTTGGGTGGTCCTAAACTAGGGTACTCTGTTTTTAACTTCCTGAGGTTGCTTGGGCAGCTTTTTACCTGAACACTTGAAATTTCAGTCCGCTCTCAAGTCGACGGATACTGTACTAGAAGTTGGTCCTGGTACAGGTAATTTAACAGTGAAAATGCTGGAAGTGGCAAAGAAGGTTATTGCCTGTGAGATTGACCCAAGAATGGTAGCCGAGTTGAAGAAACGAGTCATGGCCACGTAAGTTTCGTGTATTTTACCACAATATTCTTGTATTTTAACAATCTTCATTACGCATAAGCTAGCCGCACCTTTCAGGGCCTCTTCAAATAAATTAGAGGTCCGTCACGGCGATGTCATGAAAGCTGAGTGGCCGTACTTCGATGTGTGTGTGGCAAACTTACCCTAACAGATCTCATCACCCTGTATTTAAACTGCTGTTGCAACGACCACTTCCAAGGTGAGGTTTTCTTTAACTGAAAGTTTGTGCTACAACTTCGTTTTGTGTTCACTGCACTGGAATCACTGACCTGAGCGTATTACTTCTTGATGCTGTCATTTGACCCATATTTGCAGTTGCATGGTGTGGGTGGGTAACTTACATATTGACTTGTAAAAACAATGTCGCTTCCTGTGATTTCTCGTCCATATTTCACGCAAATACGTCGCATGTGGCGATTATGAATATAACGATATTTCGGTTTAAAAGCCGGAAAGATTGGACGAGCTTGTTCAAGGTCTAAAGCAGGGAGTAAGATGAACAGTGGTAAAGCGATTCGAAGCTGTACGTTGTCTTTTTCCGTCAGCGACAGAACCCTCCTTTGCAGACAGAAACGTGCCTGCCGCAAGCACTGGAGGAATGGCGCAGTCCAAGCTTCGCGCGGAGCGGGGCAGGATTCTGCTATTTTCACTGTTTCCACTGGCTTCCGGTTTACAAGTCTCACTCTGGTGAACTTGTGAACTCTTGTGAAGCTGGAGCAAGCTCGTCTAGCCACCATGGTAAAACGTGTCAACTCAAGAAAAGGCTATCTAGATGGGTCGACACATCGATGGGAAGCAAAATGCCCCCCCCCCCGTCGCCGAACTGCGCCCGCAGGATGTACTACTTTTGCAGCCAAGAATAAGTGACTATAGGGCCGCTCACTCGTGACGAAACCGCTGCTTCACTCACCCTCCACGGTGGCGCCCTATTTTCACTTTTAACTGCTACGTGATGATGTAGTTGTTCCGCTATTAACCCTCTCCATTTCGAAAGGTGAGGGCGAGGTGATAAGAAGAATGAGCTGATATCAACAAGTGAGAACTCTTCCGACCACGCCCTTTCTGCGCATCATGCACGCACAGTCGCGGTTTAGAAAAGGGATCTACATGGGGGATTTGGCTTTTCGTGATTTTTTTTGTTCATTTTTGTGTTATCTATCAGAATGTCGCTCGTAGTTGAGCTGCACGACTTACCATTTTTTGACGCGGGTGTGCCTTTAAGTTTTCATGTTATTGAAATGTTTTTTTTGCAGGTATGCGGTGTTGATGTTTCAAAAAGAATTCGCTGATCGATTAATAGCGAAACCAGGCGATAAAGATTACTGTCGATTGTCTGTAAATGTACAACTTCTAGCAAAGGTAAGCCTCCATTCATTACTTCTGCCAAAGTGATTGCTTCAAAACATTGGCTGTGCTTTAGGTTGAACATCTCATGAAAATCAAAAGAACCGAATTCCGCCCTCCTCCAAAGGTCGACTCGGCGGTGGTGCGTATCGCACCGAAGAATCCACCTCCTCCTATAAATTTTGATGTGAGTTTTGCTGAAATCCTTTTCCCGTTTTACGTTGAATGCTTTGTCGGAGGTTCTCGTTTTCAGGAGTGGGAAGGCATGCTTCGATTGTGTTTTCTCAGGAAGAACAAGAAGTTGCTCGCAATATTCAAGCTGAACAATGTAACAGAATTGATAGAGAAGAATCACCAGAAGCTGTGTAGTTTACTCAACAAGGTACTTTAATCGGAATTGGTAAAAAGTGACGAGTTCAGAGTTCCTGATCGAATATTTAAACTTATCGGTTGGGTGTTTATTCTTTGGTAATCCTAAAATATTTTCAGGCGATACCGAAAGATTTCAACGTCAAGAAACTCATTGAGGACACTCTAGTGGAAGCTGGATTCGCTGAGAAACGTGCACGTTCAATGTCAATTGAAGAGTTTCTTGCTCTCCTACTTGCCTTCAATAAGGCGGGAATTCATTTCCATTCGTGATAGTTTTTCAGTTTTTCCTTGTATATGATACTGGATGAGGCGAAGAGGTGACGTGTAGTGGACTAGTTGGCACGCCTACCACTCGCGCGGCGCCGGGTTCGAATCCCGGGTCGACACCCGCCCAGGCCAACCAAGCCTTCTACCCTCCGGGGACGGTAAATTGGTACCAGATTCGTCTGGGAGGATAAAACACTGACTTGTACATCGGCTGGCCACCGCAAGTCATTGTATAGGCCACATCGCATTCAATAAGCCACTAC